TTATTCTGAAGTTGAACATAATGATGCTCCTTAATGCATACTTTTCAAAATCCAGACACAGATAAAAAATTACAAGGGATACGTGATTAACTAAACTTTGGGAATCATTGCTTTGTCGAGAAAATTAATACAACATTATCATATCATTAAAACTTACCTTATAGTGAACAAACACAGGTTACATAATCAGCATAAAAAACTTACCTTAGATTAATTATCAAAATAACGTTATCATACTCTTGAAACTTACCTTCGAGTTAACCAAAACATCTCCATATAACCTAAACTTACCTAAAAAAAAAAAAAACAGTATAAAAAAAATACCACATCCTAAGCACATCCTTTTTAGAACGGAACAAGAGCAACACTTTCACTTACGCACTTAAGGATCAATACAACAAATGACATTATCAAATCCTCAATACTTGCCTTCGCGTTGACCCAAGGCGCCAAGATCCCCGTCACAAAGAGTCCGTCCAGGGGGCTAACGAGAGCGCCACTGATGCTGTAGCCTACTTGGAATAAGGTGCCGAGATTGGCGACCAGAAAAGCCAGAGCGATGCCCAGGAGACCCATGCATGAGGCTGGGGGTAAAGGTGTATATTTAGTCAATGGGTTGATATATTCAGTTTGTTGGAACATATATATAAGATAAGTCACTGTGGAATGGATATTATTAGTTATTACTTTTGTCTTTCTCCTTTTTTTCTCTTCTTGTCTTTTTCTTTTTCTTTCTCTCTTTTTCTCTTTCTCTTTCTCTCTCTCATTCACCCTCCTTCTCCCCCCTTTCCCCCTTCATTCCTCTACGCCCCTTGCAATTTCTCCCTTTCCTTTTTTCTTCCCCGTTTCCTTTTCCTCCTTTTTCTCCCTCCCCCAATTCTATCCCCCTCCTCTCTTCTCCTATTTCTCTTCCTCCCTTTCTCTTCCCTTGCCCCTTACCCCTCGAACACACACGGTATACCTACACAATACCCTTGTGACCGTCTTATATTTCTTTTTCTCTTTTTCTCCCTTCTCTTTCTCCTTCCTCTTTCCCTTCCATATCCTCTTGGCCTTCTTGTGCGTGATGTCTCCAAAGATTCCACCTTCCTCCTTTTCTCTCTTCCTCCCTTCCTCTTCCTCTTCCTCAATTTCCCATTCCTTTACCTCTTTCCTTTTCCCTCTTCCTCCCTCCCTTTCCTCCTTCCCCGCTCTTCTTCCCCTTTATCCTCTCCCTCTTCCTCCTTCTCCCCTTCTCTCTCTCTATCCCTTTCTGTCTCCCACTCCAACACACACACTACCTAAAGACCCGCGTTACCATCCTAGTCTTCGTGTGCGAAATGGCTCCAAAGATCCTCCTTCCTCCCTTCCCTTTCCTCTTCCTCCCTTTCCCATTCCTCTTCCCTTTTCTCCTTCCTCGTTCTTCCTCCCTCTCCTCTCCCTCCTCCTCTTCCCTTTGCTCCTTCCCCGTTCTTCCTCCTCCTCCTCTCCCTCTCTTTTTTCTCTTTCCTCCTTCCCCGTTCTCCCTCCCTCTCCCTCCTCCCATTCCTCCTTCCCCGTTCTTCCTCCCTCTCTTCTCCCTCTCCATCCTCCCTTCCCTCCTTCCCCGTTCTTCCTCCCTCTCCCTCTTTGCTCTTCCTCCTTTCCCTCTTCCCTTCCTCCTCTTCCCTCTTACCCCTTTCCTCTCCCTCTTTGTTCTTCCTCCTTTCCCTCTTCCCTCTTCCCTCCTCATACCCCCTCCTCTTCCCCTTCCCTCATACCCCCCTCCTCTTGCCCTTCCCTCAAACCCCCCCTCTTCCCCTTCCCTCTTACCCCCCTCCTACTTCCTCTCTTCTCTCCGACACACACAGTATACCTACACAAAACCCGCGTGATCGTCTTGGCCTTCGTGTGCGAGATGTCTCTGAAGATCCACCAGCCGTTCAGGAAATCCTCCCACAGAAGCACCACCATTGCGTTAGCTTGCGACGAGAGAGAACTGCAAAGGAGCGAAAGGGATGAATTGAAAGGGGATTAAATCGATTAAATTAAATTGATATGTGATTAAATCGTGGATGAATTGGGCAGGAGGTGGATGGAAATAGAAATGAAGGGATTATTTATACATATTTCGGTAGGTGGATGAAAAATGGATGAGGTAATGAGTGAATTATGAATAGATATTTCGGTAGGTGATTAAGAATTAATGGAGTAATCAATAAATAAGGCATCGATGATGAATGAATGGGTCTAAACTAATCAATAAGAAAGATAACAAATAAATAAATAAACTAGGGAATGCCAAATACTTCAACGTTGACGTTTAAGAGAGTTACCCCTTCCATTGAGCAGAGATTCTCTTATTTTTTTTACATTTCTACGTTAGAGTATATAGTTAAATTCAAAGGTCAATATATATTTTGACTAAAATGGCATTCGTTTCAAGTATCGAAATGTTGTTTTATATCAAATAGTGAATTTAGCTAAAATATATTAACAATCTTTAGACAATTTTCTGTAAATAAAGTGTAACCATCAAAGA